GCTGAAGGTCGTTCTTGTGTAAGCCTCTCGTCGCGCAGTCAGCGGGATTTTGACTTGATGGAACATGAAGGAAGTAGACTTGGTGTCCTGCTGACTTCAAGTGCCCGACGATTTGTTTGATTTCCCTTAGTCGATTGTTGATTAGTACTCCCTTTTCTTTCTTGTCAGGGTCTTTGATCCAATTCAGTATGATTTCCGAGTCGGTAAATATATAGATCATTTTGATTCTAACCATCATGTGAACTTGAGTAATGAGAGCATTGACTACGCGCATTGCTAACGTTATAGCGTTTAGCTCCATTTTCGGGATGGTTAGGGAAGAACGTATGGAAGGGAGTTTCTCTCGTGCCATTACGAGATTCGCGGTGGAATTCGAGCACATGTATGTACAAGTGGCCATGCCCTCTGTACTTGCGTCTGCAAATGCCACTAAAACTTGTTCTTCTGATCTCTTTGAAATGAATCGAGGGAGCTCTTTGTAGAAGTCCCTCATGGATTCCACTACGCTTGTCCATTCCTTAGCTTTCTGTTCTGAAAGTGGATCGTCCCACTTGTAATCACCCTTCCATAGTGACTGGATAAAGACCTTGGCCTTATGAGTAAGGGGTGTCATCCACCCTAAGGGGTCGTAGATAGATGCTACTGAACTTGCGACGGTCCTTTTTGTCAGCGGAGTACTCAGTTCAATTGAGCATGCTATCTGGAACTTGTCCGTGGAGGAATCCCATTTGATCCCGAGTACTTTCAGGTGTCTATTTCTAGACTTGTCTGCAGTGGCCATGACTTCCAGCAGAGTGGGATCATTGGAGACGAACTCACGCATGTTCATGGAAAGGTCTCGGAACATTTGTTTGACTTGTTCATACTTTCGACTTGCTTCTTCCAAAGTGTCTGCTGTTAGAAGCAGGTTGTCCACATACAGATTATTCTTGATCTCCTCTACAAATTTCGTGTCATTCGTACAGGAATTCAAATGAAAGTGTGTTGTGGCTGCTAGTAGGAAAGGTGAACTATTTAGTCCGAAGGTGACTCTTGTGAAACGAAGAGTTTTTATGTTCTCCAATGTTGGTGGTCTGTTGTGGTCGTACAACCAAAGACATCTTGTTGCATCTCTGTCGATCTCTTGAAGGCGCACTTGTAAAAACGCTTTCTCGACGTCAGATGTGAAGCCTATTTTTCCTATTCGGAATCGTAGGAGTATCCCGAAGAGAGGTGGAAGAATAACTGGACCACGATGAAGAACTTGGTTGAGAGAAGGACAACCCTTGTAGTGGGCCGAAGCGTCGAAAACAATTCTCAGCTTTGTTGTTAACTTGTTTGGCGTCAAAACTGCCTGGTGCGGTATATAGTGGATCACTGAGCCACTTGCTGTAGCGTGTTTGGGGACTTCTTCCACTATATTCAGACGTAGTTGTTCCTCGAAGATGTTATTATACATTTGTAACAGCTCGGGATCACGTTGCAAAGAGTTCCAGCTATTGACTAGTCGTCGTAGAGCGATGGCTTTGTTATCTGGTAGGGTCGCCCAGTTTTCTTTCCATGGAAGACGGACATAGTAGCCGTCGTCTCGGCGTTGTATGGTCTCGTTGAATTTGTCCCAGACTTTTTTATCGATGCTGGCTTTTTCTGCTTCTTCTGTTCCGTTAAATTCTTGAGTTCCTTCATTTTCGAGTGTCCAGTAGCGATCCCACTTATCTTCTTCTGTAGAGCAGTCGGCTATCTTCCCAGACGGTATTGACCTGCACGTCTAATGACCAATATTTGTCCCATTTCTGAGCTTCGCTGGAGGACTGTACTTCAAGGACTTGACTTGGGTGATGGTACCTCCCTGTTATGAGATTGCCTGTTTTCGTTGGTAGGAGTTGAAGTCCTGAAGGGAGCGGAACAGGTGGCTCGTCTGTCTTCCAG